ACAACTCATGAAAATACGACGGCCAGCATTTTATGTACTCCTTATGTGGCCATGTGACTCTTCACATTTGTTTGTGTCATCTATTTAATACAATTTCTTTCATTGGTATTTTGTAGTTTTCCTTGTAAAGATCTTTCACTTACTTGGTTAAACACATCCCTAAGTATTTTCTGTAGCTATTGTAAATGGGATTGCCTTCTTGATTTGGTTCTCAGCTTCATCATTATTAGTGTATAAAAATACTACTGATTTTTGTACATTGATTTTGCATCCTTAAACGTTAATGAATTCATTTATCAAATCTAACACTTTTTTGGTAGCATTTTTAAGGTTTTCTAGATATAAGATCATATCAGCAGGGAATGGATAATTTGAGTTCCTCTTTTCCAATTTGGATGCCTTCTATTCCTTTCTCTTGTTTGATTGCTTTGGCTAGGACTTCTAGTATTATGTTGAATAGAAGTGGTGAATATGGGCATCCTTGTCTTGTTCCAGTTCTTAGAAGGAATCCATTCAACTTTTCCTTGTTCAGTATGATGTTGGCTATGGGTTTGTCATATATGGTTTTGAGGTATGTTCCTTCTATGCCTAATTTTTGAGGTTTTTTTTTTTTTATCATAAAGGATGCTGAATTTTATGAAATACTTTTTCAGTGTCTATTGAGATATTCATACAGTTTTTGTTTTTAATTCTATTTACATGGCATATCACATTTATTGATTTGTGTATGTTGAATCATCCTTGCATCCCTAGTATGAAATATATTGATCATGGTGTATTAGCTTTTTTATGTGCTATTGGATTCAGTTTGCTAGTATTTTGTTCAGGACTTTTGAATCTATGTTCATCAGGTGTATGGGTCTGTAGTTTTCTTGTTGTTGTGTCCTTGTCTGGTTTTGGTATCAGAGTGATACCAGCCTTGTAGAACGAGTTGGAAAGAAATTCCTCCTTCTTGATTTTTTTGCAATAGATTCCAGAGGATTTCTCCTATTTCTTCTTTGTACCTTTGGTAGGATTTAGCTATGAATATTTTTGGTCCTAATGATTTTTTTGTGTGGGAGATTTTTTTTATTACTGATTAGATCTCACTACATCTCACTACTCATTCTTGGTCTGTTCATTACAGTGCAAATGTGGAGACCAAATTTTGCACTTGTAATGTGCCTTATTCAGTTACACTGCCAAAAAGGAGTGGAACTGAAACATCAACTTTGAGATGTCAACTGTATCACTGGATCTAGAAAAAAAGTGCTCAAGGAAAAGGGCAAAATATTCCAAAGAATCTAAATGGTCCTTAGAAAAGTGAATAAGAAATAGACATATACACTTCTGTCAGGTCTTAGTTTTTCTTGATTTCCAATTCCTGCTGCTGGCAGAAAACATTGAATGCTGTCAGTTAATGTTATCTTAGTTCCTCCAGGTTTTACTTAAGCATGTTAATAATTCAGTTTTTATAATAATAACGATGCAGTGTTTTTTAGTCTTTCTCGCTAGGTAGCATGGGGTTCAAGAAAAAGCATACACTCATTCACATATTTGATAAATAGTTACAGAGCATCTGTAATGGTCTGGGGATTGTTTCGGGCACTGGGGATATACTGGTAAACAGTAGAGGGTCTCTTGTCATGTCTCTGTCCTCCTGCTGCTTGCTGCACCTGACGGGAAGTGTCCATCTGCATGGTATGATATGTGGCCTGACGTGGCTGACAGTCATGGACTGATGCTGCAGGATTTGCACTTTATTTCTTTTTTGTCTGTTTTTTATTTTTCCCATTAGTGTATCACAAACACCTATGATAGTGCCTGAGACATAGAAAGTCTCAATAAATATTTGTGGAACAAAGGGATGATTACATGCTGCCCCTCTACTTAGACGCCACCCAAAGAGAAAGTGAGGACAAAGGAAGAGAGAGAGAAGCAGTGAAGAACTGAGCCAGTGTGGTGGGTGGGCCTCTGTAGCTCTCTCCCTTAGAGACACTTGGCTCATCAACAGGTGGCCCTCTTGTGCATTCACCACCCAAAACTCTGGCCAATTACCAAAACTTTGTAGAAGAAGCTCACAAAATCTACACTGACAGCCTCTAGGCATGAGTTTGCAGGGGAGATTCAAATCACAAGGCAGAGACTGGCCAAACATTTTTCTGGTTAGAATTCAGAAAACATTATTAGTTGCATATCTTGGATTTATTACATTGCATGCAACAAGATTTACTGGAAGTTTTGTAGATAATTTAGAATCTAAAGTACTGTCTAACACAAAAGTGTACTTCCAAAGGAAAGGTCTGTGTTTCTTCTGCCTAGAATATTTTGTGGTTAGCTATTTTAAGCTGCTGAATGTACCTTTTAATAAAACAGGAATGTACCTGGGGCTTTTAGAAAGCCTTCCTTCATTTAGATAAAAGCACTTTGAAATATAATAGGTTTTATACTACCAACCCTTCCCCCATTCAGGCAAGGAAGAAAGTCTGAATCTCCCATAGGCCATTCATCCATCCTGAGACACTGAGGAGGCAAGACGCTTCCCAAAGGTACACACAACTTGGAACCACTTCCTTCCATGTCCACATGCCTGTGCCACAAGGATCAAGAAACAAGGAACATTGTCCCCAAAGTTTGTCCTGTAGTTTTTTCTAAAGAGCACTGGGAGTGGGAATAAGAAACTAACATATTTTATCCTCCTCAATTTATTCACCCTTCCAGCTTTATGCTCCCAACAATTAGCTAAGCTCTCTTCTTTTCTGTGGCAAGGGGCCTTTCTTACTTACTACTCTATTTTCTTCTGGCACTTCACTGTGGCTTGTAGTAAAATTCCAAGCTCACCTTTCCCAGCCTAACCCTTAATACATAAAGAAAAGTGGAGAAGTGTTTCATATTAAAAAAATGATTTCCTCTCTCAACAAGCCAAGTTTTCTACACTAATGTCTTTTCAGGCATTCAAAACATTTAATTTAAAACTTAGAACAAATGAAATGACCCTTTGTTCTTGATGGTGTGAATTTACTCTTCCATTAAACTAATGAATCGAGGAGCAAGGTTTATTGAGAATAAAAGATATTGGCTTTATAAATCAAAAATATGATTTCT